GAGGCCCCGGGGCTTGCCGGAGTCGTCAGAGCCAGCAGGGGCTGCGTTTCCCCCCCCCCCCCCGCTGCGTGGGGGGGAGTGGAAGCAGGCGGCGGCACCAGCCACGGAGCTGAGCTCTCTGGATCTCCAGAAGCCCCATCTATGTGCCCGCCAAACACGGGGCAGGGCCCGCCGCGGAGAAGGGGGGAACAGTCCCACCGCGGGCTGACGCGCAATTCATCTTGATTGATTCGAGGGGTGATTGTGTCACGAGACGGAGGCGATGGAGAAATGTCCTTATATCTATATCAGCCACTCCCCCCACCCCAGAGCAGCTGCTGGTCTTCCTGCCTGCTCGCCTTAGCGGAAGCTTTGATTCAAGAGCCCTTCCAAGAAGCCCCCGGCCTCCGCGGAGTCAAACCGGGCACTGGCTCGCCCTAAGGGAAACCTTTCAATCTCTCGCCCGCCATCCATCTCACTCCGCCCCCCCCCCCCCCCCCCCTTCCGAAGCAGAAGCGAGGGCGACCTATAAGTAGGACGGCGGATCACCTGGGCATGCCAGCAATACCCGGAGGCCAAGCCCCATTCTTGCAAACGCTCGTCAGGATGCCTCTGCTCCCCCCTCCCCCCTTTCCTTCCCTCTTTCTGAAACACAAGCAGCCCCCAACCAGGCAGTCAGAGAGCCTGTAAGGCCAAAAATGTGCTCCAGAGCAATTTTTCCCCTCCCCTCCCCGCTCTGCGAGCCAGCCTCCAATATCGGATTATGGCATCCTCATTTAAAAAAAAAACACTTAAAAATAACCTAAGCGCTTTCTTTTTTTTCTTCCCCGCCTCTTCTCTCGCTCTCTTGCTCGCTCGCTTCCCTCTTGATAGCCTCGCTCTGGCAAAGTTCTGGGAGCAGAGTGGGGTTCTTCGCCCACGGCTTCACCCCACACCTAGAGGCTTCTTCCTCCCTCGCCCCGCGGCTCTCCCTATTTTTATTTTTGAAACGGACATCCCAAACACCGTGTCGGGCAGAAGGACCTTCTTCGCTGCCCTTCTATTCGATGATACTCTCTCACACCCAGAGGGACATGCACATTCCATACACTTTAGTGTAGTGCAGCTCAGAGAGGGGGGCGGGGAGTGAAAAAAAGGATTACACCCTGAATCTCTGCAAGTGGTCCTTGTTTCTGGATACTGAGCAACCCTCTGAGAGCATCTGACCGAGCAGAGGAGGGGCTCTACACCAGACATTTTAGAGTGGGGCGCCCAGGGAGATTCCAAGGGGCTGTTCAAGACCTGCACTCGCGCCGGTCAAGGTCATTGGAAGGGGAAGGAGTGGGAGAAACAGTCTTCCCCTTCGGATCTGCTTTTCGGTAGGGAATTCCGGACCACCTTTTGTTCCCGTTTCATCTCACTCCCGTGCAATCGAAACACCCCATGCCTCTCCACTTTCTTTGCGCTCCGCTTCCCCTTGGGCTCCACATTCAAGGCGCACAAAATCAATAAAAGCAACAACACACGCACGGAAAAACCTCCAGCAAGAAGGGACGCATTTCACAAGTCAGAATTCAAATGTCTCCAGAAGATCCATCTGTTTCGCTTCCTTTCTTTTCCCACCTAACTTGACTAAGCTGCCATAGTCAAGTTTAACTCCAGGATGTTGCTTTGCCTTCCAAATGAAAATGCACCGTGCCTAAACAGACATGTTTTTAAAGACATCAAGCTGAAAAAAAATTCCAATTGTATTTCTATATCTTCTCTCCGCAATTACATCCAACTAAACAAATGATATCACACTCTGTTATCTAGAAAACAAACTAGCCGTGATGGTTCTAGCAATAACAATCCAAAATCCTATGCTGGACAATACCGTTATTACAACCAAAAATCACCTTAAAGGGTGGTTAATAGATGAGGCGGCTTGTTTAGTTTAATATTAACAGTATCTGGATGCGGGGGGGTGGGGAGGAGGAAAGGAAAGGAAAGGAAAGGAAATTTCTAAGGACAACTAACTTATTTTAAGAAAAGAAGAAAATCAAATTATCCTGTAGACAACTTTGTAACATTTTATGCAAAAAATTATTTGCAAACATGGCTAATCATAGCCTATTTTAAATGTTTTATTGAAGAAGCTTTTAGGCAGATAAGCATGTGAAGCAGTGTGTATATGTGTATACAATTATTTTACGTTTTTTACACACCTATCAACAGATACCAAAACAGATGAGACAACAAGTGTTTGCATTATACATAATCTATCTTATTGATAATATGAAATTATTTGGAACTCATAAACATTGCAGGCGGAATGGTGATGCCACTGGCTTCCCCAGGGACCCCGCACTTCGACTCTTCGCATTCTGCTCTAGAAAGGAAGCCGAGAGGGAGAGACAACATGGCTGGCCAAGTATTCTTCAGCAGAGCCTGGCCACTTCCCAAATCAAAGCCTCTTCCCCTGTTTGGAAAAGGAAAAGGAGGGAGGAGGGAACTATCCTGCGCCTCAGGGCTATCCGGACTCCTTGAAGGCTTGCCATAGATCACAGCCGCCTGCTTCCCTGGAATCGACCGCCTCAGACGCACCTTAGAGCCAACGAACACCTGATATTCGACCATCACCGGACACCTCCCAGCCCCGCACCCACCCAATAACAACCACGGGAGACCAATGTCACCTCCCGCCTTTCCAAGGCGCAGAATTTTTGGTTCTGCTTCTGCTGTAATGGACGCCTTCTCCTCCCCCCCCCCCCCCCCCGCCTTCCCCAAACGGGCATGGCGCAGCTAAAATGGCTCCTGTAT